CTGTACTATATATTATTGGCTAAGTACAGGCTGAGCAATAAAAAACAAAAAAAACTATAGCGTAGTCTGAAAGCAGCTTAAGGCACACGGTGAAATAAGAAAATCTTTTAGTAATTTTATCGTTATTTAGATAAACTATTTAAAATATTAAAAGTTTAGAACCTACTTTTCTCGCAGAAAGGTTTCCCGTAACAAATCAAAACCTGTGACATTACGTCACGTCCACAGGATATGTCAGTTTCCGAGAGTCTCCAAATATTTAACACGGCACGACGACACGCTAAGAAATCATTGTAAGTAGCTTTACAATAGTGATAATTGATTGTCGCATGCAGATGGTGCACCCTTTACATATCCTTGTATACAAAATTTATAACATTTGTTTAAAAGCTCCAAGGTGCGGACACTCGATGTAAATCTTTTGACTTTTAACGAGTTTGACGGTAGACTAGTTTTTTTTAGGCTCTTCGATTGAGGGTTATTTAAAAAAAAAAAAAAGTTATTATTATAAATAAATTTAAATTGAAAATAGTGTAAAAATATATATATTTTATTGTAAAAAAAGCATGAGGTGCATGGTGTTATTAGTTATATTTTTCTGACAGATATGAGTAGAAGAATTATTATTTCAATAATATCTTAATAAGCACCCCACGCTTTTTTTAAATAAAATGTTTTTTTTTACACTATTTTCAATTTATTAAAATTTATTTTCTATTTTTTAGTTGAATTTTTTACATAGCGTGTTTTTTAGTTATTTTAAAGCATTATTTATTTTTCATTTTTTAGTTAAATTTTCTATAAAAGCGTATTTCTAAAACTATTAAGTACTTTAACATCAATTCTTGCCTTATCGACTATAGATAAAAATTATATAAATTGGCAAAAATCTTATTTTGCAAATTGAATAATGGAATTATCTTATCAAATTAGTGTATTATCAACGGTCCTCGATAAATCTACAAAGTTTGAATGAAATCTGGCCGTTTAAAGTGGGTCAAAATAGCGTCTAAAGAAGTCAGTTACAAACATACAAACATACATACAAGTGAAGCTAATATAAAGCGTGTAAAAAGAATGATTTCATTCGAAATAAAACACTTTCAACTTGGCACTGCTTTATTTATTGCTTTGTTTAAATAACACAAAATTGGGTTTTACAGGGCACTTGAAGTTAGGCTCTCACGGGAATAGCCTTAGGTGGAGCACGAATATTCCAGAAGCTTTTGCAGTTACGGTGAACACACTCTCAATCGACTTCAATTGCATAAGAACGTTATTCGTGAAAATAAATTTAAAAATGCTTTCCATAAATAATGTTTACGACAATTCACTATTGCGTCTCCTTAGACGTTGCGTTTTGGTCATATAGCAAGAAAACCTTCTGACGACCTGGAGTGACTCATAGTGATGGGGAGAGTGAATGGAAGATGATCCAGAGGTCGCAGCCAAAAAAGATGGAGTGACCAATGTGCTTAGTGCGAGTTTCTTAACGTTCTCGATAGCGTAAAAGTTAGCTCATGTTTGTATGGAATGGGATCGTTTGCGTACGTTTGCCGCTAGGGGCGCTGTTCCAACTCCATACAAAATTTGCTTAACTTCTACGCTATCAAGAAAGTTAAGAAACTAGCACTAAGCACACTGGTGCAGCTTCTGGACACGAGACTGCGCCGCGTACTTCACTGTGCCACTGACCAACATAAGTGGATACAAATCACAAAAAAAGTCGCAGGCGGGCGCATCACGATGCTCAGCAATGAGCCATCGATTGAAGGAGGAATAGGAGGCGTTGCGTATGTTTAAAAATATTTTATTGTAAAAAAAGCGTGGGGTGCAAGGTATCAGTAGTTATAAATATTTTATGAACAGATATGAGTAGAAGGGTTATTTTGATAATATCCTGAAAAGCATCCCACGCTTGTTTCAATAAAATCATTTTTTCTTACACTATTTTTAATTCAAATTTATTTTCTATTTTCTAGTTAGATTTTCTATAAAAACGCTAAAATTTATTTTTCATTTTTTAGTTGAATTTCAACTTTTCAATATATTTTTTTAATATTGAATTGTCATCAGTCCTTAATAAGTATACCAAATTTCGAGTTAATCCGACGTTTTGAAGGGGGTCAAAATCATGTTCAAAGATTCCGTTACAAACATACATACTAACATACATACGTCTGAAGCTAATAAATGCATATTAAAAAACCATCGAATTCGATTATGTAGTTCATGACTATTCGTTCTTAGTGTAAAGACCGTCGATGGGCGTATCGGAGACAGCAGCGATGAGAGAATTAGGCATGAAATAATGTGACGTAACAAAGCTGATTGAAAACAATAGCGCCTAATTCAAGCTTTTAGGTGGGCGGGGTCACATGGCTTCGCCATTTTGATTACCTACTTACTACTAGTTAGATCCATTAGTCTGCCTAAGTGCTCTGTAAGCCTAATGGTTATGTATCTTTTAATCTGCCTTAAGTATCATACGATATAATTTCTTAACATTCAAAGCTGTTGCAAATGTTGTTGTTTTGAAATATGTATTTTTTATTTTATTTTTATAATATTTAATTTACAGAACCCTTCATTTTGTACTCTCCAACACACCCTTACTCGTTTTTTTAAACTATCCAACAAATAAACATAATTAATATAATCCTTTACAAACTGTATCGAATTGTGCGCTATAAAATATTTGAACACATTTGACATATCAGATGTCGTCCGTCAAACTTTTTGACACTAGGCACCACAATAGGGATGCGAATTTTTTATTTTAAGATTTAGTATCACCGTTGCATTCTGTTTTGTATGTTGCTTGATCAATCAATGTCAACTCTAGAGGGATGCTTTCCAAATTTAGCTATGTTACTCGTACTTTGGATGTTTGTTCCGAGGATCTTATTGGTAATAGCGTATTAGAGTCAGGTTTTACCCGAGCTAATCTTTATACATATATTCCTTCTGTGCGTGTGTTTGTCACTGAACTCCTCCTAAACGGCTGGACTGATTTGAATTATTTTTTTCGGTTTTGAATGATTTTTTCGGCGCTGCAGTCAGTATCTAGCTTATTTATCTTTTCTAGAAATAATTTATATGGCAAAACAACGTTTTCCGGGACAGCTAGTGCTACCGATTTTTACTACCTTTTTATCCGTGTTAGCACACTTTTGTTCTTAGTTCATTCACTAACTTTTTAGTTCCTAATTTAAGAATCTACTAATAAGGAAGGTCGTCCCGGGTGGTTATCTATAAGTTTTCTGTTTATTTCTGCTGTAGTAATAATATACCTTTCTGTGTGGTTAGGGCAGAAATTGTTTGTCATATTGCGGGTCGATTTATTATTTCAAACGTTCATGCATTTCGAATGAATAGTTCCGCGGTCCCTGTCTTCGAAGCTTATTTGGTCCGCGCTCGTGGAATATTCGTAACGAGTATATCTTGAGTGTCGGGAAGCAGACGTCGCACGTGAGAGCGGCTTTGTTTGAAGTACCGGGGGGCGTGTCGTAATGTGGGCGGGAGCATTGTACAAACAATCGTAGATAAACTATAGCGTTGTGACAAAGTTTGCTGTGTGATATTTTCGCGCTTGATTTTTTTGACTTCTTTGGTTTTTCTCAATCTGTTCCTTAGTTAATTTTAGTTTAAAAACTTTAAATCGACATGGCAAAAGAGATTTGTATTAGATACTGGATGTTGTCACACATAGTACTGACCAACCTAGTAGTCTCCAACCGGTGAGAGGTCTTGACTAAGCAGGATCTGTCTTTCCACATACATATTTAGTTAGTTTTCTCCCGAAACTTTTATGCCAATGTTAGGTAATAAATGAACACATGTATCAGGCGTGTTGTTTTGCTCTTAAAATTAGGTTGTAAATCTCTGAAATCGTAGTCATACCATTAGCAGAATACCAACAGTGAGCATTTAGCCCGCTGCAAATAATATTTTTATTAATTAATTTTAGACTATATGACATAGTACAACAGTAGATATAGGTACTACAGTATAATATATAGGTACCTATAGATTATTATTCATATTAAAATTTAACTAGGAAATGGAATGAAGAACACCCCAAGCAGACATTATAGTAAATTATTTCGACTTTCGCTCTGTCATATAACAATTTCGAAGAAATCTTGTGCAAATTCGGATTTGTTTGGCAAGATATGTTATGATTAGGCTCTGGAGAAAGAGAACATATGTACCTACCTATACAGTAAGTCTTAAAAAATCTAAATCCCAAGCACATTCTCTCCGGGGCTAATAAATGTCGTTTCATAATTTAAATATACCTAATATCAACCGTTGTCAACGTTTCAGCGTGAACACAAAAGCTATTTGTCTTAAAGTAATGAAGCTATAATAAATCTTTTGTGGCCGTTTCAAGCACAATTATTATTTAGATTAATGGTTTACGAGGTGACTTCTAAAGCCAATTTGTCAAATTCAACTTCCATAATTTACATGAATCCGAACATCTGCTTCAACGTTTAAAAACACAATTAATAAATACATTTACGACACATAAATAGCAACGCTAAATAAACTCACAAACAACGCGTGAAAAATTATTAAAAAACCTGTTTAATAAGCGCGGCTTATCGCGTCAAATTTAACCCCAACAAAACCCTGTAAGAACCTTTCATTACACATTCGAATGGAGAATGAGTTTTAAGTGAAAGTAATAAAGTTGTATGTCGTATAGTGCGGGTGTTGAGCNTACATTTACGACACATAAATAGCAACGCTAAATAAACTCACAAACAACGCGTGAAAAATTATTAAAAAACCTGTTTAATAAGCGCGGCTTATCGCGTCAAATTTAACCCCAACAAAACCCTGTAAGAACCTTTCATTACACATTCGAATGGAGAATGAGTTTTAAGTGAAAGTAATAAAGTTGTATGTCGTATAGTGCGGGTGTTGAGCGCGGCGGCACATAAAGCGATGAGTGGAGGGTGTGGTCTGAGTGCACTGGGCGGCGACGCGAGGCGGGGCGTGGAGCGGCTGCGGTCCTTAGTAAGGCGCGAGCGGCGCGCTATGCCGCACCACTATGAGTCCTCCGCACAGCTTCGCGATCCGCGACATCCTCCCGGAGGCCTTGTCGCGTTCGCCCTCGCCCTCCGACGCCGAGCTCGACGTCACGGGCACCGAGACGCCGCCGCCCTGTGCCTCGACATCGAACGAAAACAAGAAAAACGAAAAACCGGCCTACAGCTACAACGCACTCATCATGATGGCCATCCGCAGCAGCCCCGAGAAACGACTCACTCTCAACGGTATCTACGAGTACATCATGAAAAATTTCCCGTATTACAAAGAGAACAAACAAGGTTGGCAAAATTCTATACGTCACAATTTGAGTTTGAACAAGTGCTTCGTGAAAGTGCCGCGCCACTACGACGACCCCGGCAAGGGGAACTACTGGATGCTGGATCCGTCTTCGGATGACGTGTTCATCGGCGGAACGACGGGCAAGCTACGAAGGAGGTCGACGGCCGCGTCCCGGTCGCGACTGGCCGCGTTCAAACGTGGCGCGCTGCTGCACCCGATGTTCGGGAATCCGTACGCGTCGTTGGTCGGTCTGTACCCGCCGCTGCTATCGGTGTACGGGCGGTACGCGCTTCCGAGTCCTCTGCTGAGGCTGCCGCCGCCGCCGCCCAGCCCGTACCACCAGCTGTACCGGCGGCTGCACGGACTGGCGGCCCCGACCAGCCCGCCGCCGGAGCCCGACCACCTCGTCAAGCACAGTTGATCGACAGGGGTCTTTGCACTGATATTTCAGTATATCCCGGCGAAGACAAGTGACCGCGTAGTGCACTGGACTGTGATAGCCGTGAACGGAGAATGTACAGAATGAACCTTGTATAAAGTCGTATCGCTATTTATTGTCGACGTAAGCTATTATTTAATGAATTCATTGTAGCGGATAAGAGAATTAATTTAAGTTATATTAACGCAATAAAGATTTTTGTCCTGAATTACGTATGGTTTTGTGAACCGTGCGTTACACGTCTGTTCTTGCTAGGCCTATTTGATGACAAGTTTAACGTATGAGGTATTTTTTTATAAATAACTCTGATATATTTAAAATTTCGTCGCTCGTTTTGAATCTTATCAAATAATTTAGGTAAGCTGATAAGAGCTACGTAAAAAAATATATTTTCGATCATAAACACCGTAGTGTGCTAGAAGAAAAAATCGCGCCCGGAAAGACATACTACTTGAGTTAACATTTCTGAGATCGACCCTTTCTTTATTTGAAAACGAGTGACAACTTAATTGAGTATTTTATTGACAGTTCTCGTGATAACATTTTTGATTGCTTAATGAGTCGTCACGAATAGCTGGATATAATTTCCTTTAGAATTTCGAATATTTTACTTTTTCAAGGTCAAGAACCACTTTTTATTGTCTCAAAGAAGTATTTCCGTTTTTATAAAACTTCAATGAAACAGAGCATAGATACTGTTAACTTGGCTGGCTGTGTCTGTTCAGATGGGTGCTAGCATTGCTTAGTTCAATTGATGCTTAAATTTATTTATTTATTTTTTATTGCTTATATGGGTGGACCAGGTCACAGCCACCTGGTGTTAAGTGGTTACTGGAGCCTATAGACACCTACAACGTAAATTCCGCTACCCACCTTGAGATATGAGTTCTAAGGTCTCAGGCATAGTTACAACGGCTGCCCCACCGTTCACACCAAAACGCATTACTGCTTCACGGCAGAAATAGGCAGGGTGGTGGTACCTACCTGCGCGGACTCTCAAGAGGTCCTACGACCAGTACAACCAGATCAGCTACTTCCATTCAGTACAACCACCTCATAGACAGTAGGTACCGTGTTTTATACCCTACATTATTTTTATGACTATTTTTTCACAAAAACCCTTTTTCTTCAAAATCGCGCTCGTCGTGGCCTAAAGGATAAGATGTCCGGTGCATTCGTATCTTGCGATGCACCGGTGTTCGAATCCCGCAGGCAGGTAGGTACCAATTTTTCTAAAGAAATACGTACATAACAAATGTTCACGATTGACTTCCACGGTGAAGGAATAATATCGTGTAATAAAAATGAAACCCACTAAATTATTAATTGCGTAATTAGGTACTGGTGGTAGGACGTCTTGTGAGTCTGCACGGATAGGTAATACCACCCTGCCTATTTCTGCCATTAGCGTTTCGGCTTGAAGGGCGGGGCAGCTGTTGTACTGTAAAAACTGAGACCTTAGAACTCATATCTCAAGGTGGGTAGCGGAATTTACGTTGTAGATGTCCATGGACTGCGGCAACCACTTAACACCAGGTGGGCCGTAAGCTCGTACACCCACATAAGCAATAAGTAAATAAAGCCCTCCACGCCAAACTTGGTTGAAAGGTAGAATGCCTTAAGCACTAAGGTTGCCTCTGTCTGTCATTCTGGTTTGATACACACTAGTTGAATAAATAAATAATTGAGTTCGGTTATTGCCTTTTTAGTTTTCGATTATTTTTAATACCCGTTTTTTTATTGTTTACATTTCAACATACCACATCACGGTTCGGTTCAAGATCCTTTCATTTCTTTATATACATACATATATACTTATATAATCAGCATGAGTGCCCATGACAAGGCACCTGTTGGTCTAGTTTTTAACCAAATTTGGTGCAGAAAGTTTGTGGGTTAACAAAAATCCAAACATGACAATATTTTTTATCATTTATCACTTTTTACTTTGCCTTTGGGTGGAATCGAAATTGTGGCTAGCTTATCTTGAAAATGTCGTAACCCTGATTCAGGGATCTGTAAAATATATGTAACAGTTTTTGGCACAGTTTTACCCATGGATAGTAATTTTACCGATAGCGAAATTGTTAATATTATCAAAACACAACATTGAAGCTACAACTTGTCTGTGCTGCTCTGGATCCTCGTTGAAGGGCGCACTGGAAGCCTACCCTGATTTCTGAAGTCTCCGTGTTGATCCGAACACAAAACCATCATTTTAGTACTATCATAATATGCCAAATTTGTACTATGTTTTAAATCATGAATTTTGGTTTATACTTTTTTAATTTTAATGCAAAGCGGGCATTTGTTACTTTAATCCCAATTAGTAAAATGTACTCGTACTAACGCAGACCTACCCAATTTACAATAAAAATACGTTAGAACTGAGGAACTGTCAGGGTATATGACTTCCGAATAAGAGACAATTGTTTGCACGAAGCACGAAGTCGAAGAAGATCCAAGTCGGAACTTGACTCAAATAGAGAGGTAACAACAAGGCTTAAATTTCTAAAATCGTAAACGGAATCACACTTAAAGATTCCAAGGTAGCTGTTTTGTGGCCACTACAAGATTACAACAAGGAAACCCATATCCCTAATATGAAGTGTAACTATAGTATTGTCTTCGGTTTTCGCGAGACACGGTTACAACTACTCTGAGTATTTCCGACAATTCTAATCCTTTACTGTTTTCGTGGCTACGGATGACCAAGCTGTTTGATATTCATCGATATTTTCCTAATTGACTCTTTCAGATGTAACTGTCAACAGTTAAGCCTTGACCTAATCCATCCTCATAATGAATTAAAAAGGTAAGTCTTCACCCTGGCCTATCGAGCACTGACACCATTGTAGGTACTATAATTCCGAAACACTATATGAATCAGACGAGGGAGAAATAGGATCGGAAATAAACGCGAAAGTCACGAATATTTATTGCAATTTTTTTTATTATTTAATTTAAAAATCATAGTCCATTTTAATTTATTAAAATTTATGTTCAAAAACAAAAAACGTCATTGTTAACACACATTTTTAAATATTGCAGTCGTTAGGGAGTGAATTGTCTGTTTTCAGTCCAAACATTTACATTATTTACGTAGTGGTCGTCAGCTTCTGACGGTCGCCATATGTCGTTTGATGTTATTGCGAATACACTCAGATTATTTTCAATATAGCATTTTATAATGCTCTCATATAAATATTTTTTTAAAAGTATTTCTTTCTCAGCCTTGAGTATCGAAAAAAATCGTGGTCCAATACTTAAGACGTGCAGTGTATTAATTATAGTAATGTCAACTATTGGCCTGTTATCAGTTAAATTTTATCATAATTTTATTGCATATTACGTACGATGAAGCGTAAAATATTTATGGCATGATGGGATCATGGGTATCAACTCTTTTAAATAGCAATGTTTATAACATGTTTGTTCTTTTCTTATATATCTCTCCCCGACACTCACAATACAGGAGGAAATCTCAACATGAGGCCATTGATTGTGGCCAAGATTAACTTAAAGGTGTTCCTTATAAAACTACGTTCGCACTAAAGCGGAGCCAACAAAAACACTTGACAGTAACAAGAGATCAGTCTAATCCCGCAGTTTAACCGACAGAAAACATCTTGCCGTCAGGAAATATTGTGAAAATGTTTAACCTCATAATAAATCAACCGATCATTTTGTTTCAGCATTCCCGCGCTTTTTCATGAGCATAGACAATTAGACGGGAGACGCGTACCATAAACAAGCGCTGGAGTTAATCCACGGATTATCGTGAGCAGACACAAGCGGTGCGCCCGCGGGAATTTCTTGTAAATAATTGTAAATCTGCGTCAAAATCGAAAGACAGATACATATGTCAGGGGATTATTCGACGATTAACCCGTTTCAGTGGGTTACTGCTTTATGCGGTGCATTTGGAAAGTCATTGCTTCCCGCCAAATCGTCGCTGTTAATCTTTAGTTAAATATGGTACCACATTGCGGGACATTTCGGGAAATGTATTTCTATATATGGTGTGCTTGTTTTTGTTCGTTGTTAAGTTGTTACATAAATTTTGGGATTAGAATTTTTCAACGGTGCCCTAATTAAAAACCAATGTCAAATACACGTATACAAGAACTGTCGGATGAGAANATTGCTTCCCGCCAAATCGTCGCTGTTAATCTTTAGTTAAATATGGTACCACATTGCGGGACATTTCGGGAAATGTATTTCTATATATGGTGTGCTTGTTTTTGTTCGTTGTTAAGTTGTTACATAAATTTTGGGATTAGAATTTTTCAACGGTGCCCTAATTAAAAACCAATGTCAAATACACGTATACAAGAACTGTCGGATGAGAACGTGTTGTCGTTTCAAGATAACTCACACCAATACAACTGAAGATACATATAATGTAGTGTTCATTCCCATTTTTGAAGACTTACGGAGAGTTAATATATTATGATAAAGTTATTAAAATTTATTACATTTCCCTTTTGGATGTTCAATAAAGGACTTTATTTTAATATTTGAGTAAGGGCCTAATAGCTGATGTTTTTGACCAACGCAATGTGACAGCATCGAAAATGTTTGTAGCACAATACACTCGTAATTATTAGTATTTATGTAGTGAAGCAAGCTGAAGTGGCAATGGGCCGGACATACGTGTCGCAGAACCGATGGCCGATGGAGCAGACGTGTTCTGGACTGGAGACCAAGTACCGGTAAACGCAGCGTTGGGCGTCCCCCTGCCCGTTGGACCGATGACTTGCGGCGATATGCTGGGAGAGATTGGATGCGGAAGGCGGAGGATCGTTCATTGTGGCGGACTATGGGAGAGGCCTACATCCAGCAGTGGAGAGATACAGGCTGATGATGATGATGATGATGTAGTGAATAACCAATTAAGATGATTAGGTATGTTTTGTAAATAAATTTAATTCAGATTGTATCCACGACTAAAAATATTTAAGTAAACTGGAAACCAAATAAATGCAATAATAAAATTAGATAGAATTCTGAATTGAACTTCTAAATAGAATTCAAAACACAACTTTGTTTTCTTTCCTTAAAAACTAAAATAGATTCCAACAACGAACTAATTTGTCATTGGTGTATTTATTGTTATTGACAATATTCATTGGCTCTCAAAATAAAAGAAACTAATGTTATAGATATCGTGAGCAGTTAAAATTCCACCGCCAATAATAAATCATC